TGTCCGTCGGATAAAGAGATAGAAAAATAAACCAGGCTTTTTCCTCCATATGTAGTTTTATGTAGATTTCGATGGCGCAGTCGAGACGTCGCCTTTTAGGAGGAGTGAAGCTCCTGCGCCCTGCGGGGAGTAACAACCTGCCAGGGCCTGGCGGGAGCTTCCCGCCCGGAGAAGGGATGGAGTCTCGAAATAAGGGAAAATGCTTTAAACTCTTCACCTTTTCCGGGCTGTCACAGTTTCTGCTGTTTTCTGTATTACTTGTAATGAGTCCCAAACACATTTCCTGGGAAGTACACCCGACTGCCTGGGGTTCTGCTTCAGTGATATCAGAGGGTCTTTGGAAAAAAAAGAATTAAGAAGCTGCTTCTAAACCAAGGGAGGAAATACCGAATCCAAACAGAGCCTAATCCCTCTGCATTGCGTCTGCTGGTTTTTAACAGAAATGGGAATAGTCAGTGAATGGTAAAACGGGAACAGAGAAGTGGATGTTAAATTTGGGGTTGAGTAAAGGCAGATGACGTAGAAAGCTGATGTTTATGAAAAAAGAAACTTGCAAATGAACTTGGGTGTTTCACAACACCCAGAAGGTACCAGAGGTAAGCTACTCTGAAATGTAGTATTTAGAAACCTGGAGTACCTGCTATTACTGAGTAAAGCTGAATGATGAGAAAAGAGTAAACATATACACGAAGGTATCGTTGTATTTTGAGTTTGAAACTCAGCAGAATTTCTAGGAGTTTTATTTTGCACCGGTCCATGACTATAATCCTTCACCTGCTGGGGGCATTAGTGTAATTTTGAGAACCAGATTTTCACTTCGGGTTGCCTGAACTGAACCGGATCTGTTTCTGCAGGCAGAATTCAGGGTGAAGCAAACGCCACCTCATGTCCTACCCTCACATTAAAGTAATTAGCTTCTTGCTGAATGTGTGGAGGTGCACTGGTGTAACACTAATATCGCTTTCTAACAGAATTAGCAGGAGTTTCAATGTAGCGTTTTGAAGAGATAAATTCCAACTACCTTCATTTTTAACAAAAGTGGGCATTTGAAAATCTGTGACTTACAAATAGCAAGAGACTAACCTTCAGAGTAGCTTGTCAAGGCTTTTGAAGGGGGGAAAATTACTTGAAAGATATTTTGCTATTTCTGTAAATAAAAAATCGTATTCTAGTAAACTAGATCCAATTAGATGACGTGTTTTTCCTGCTAAAAACTTTTTATTTTTTTTCTATTTTAAGAGATTCAGTCACAAATAGACTATAGATTCTTTTTTTAATCTATATGGAATATCTGATTTGCATTCTTTAGAATATCTTAGAAAAGTTAGACTTGTGTTTGAAGTTTACAGGAGAATGAAGCATTCGTGACTTCAGTTTAGAGATCAGCTGTTGCCAGACACAGAATTCTTAAAAATCTGACAGCCTCCGTGGAAACAAACCGTGAACAGGACGAGGATTTGACTCTTGTTCTCTTTGCAGTATAGCCCAGACAACGTGGCTGGAGCAGACGGAGACATCGACCCCACTGAAATCACCTTTCCAGGATGTTCTTGTGTCACCAGCTCCTGTGTGGTTCACGTGTGCTCGTGTCTTTCCCGTGGTGAAAATTACAACGGCTTGCACCTCCGGGCTCCAGACGAAGAGGAGGAGTACGCCCGGCCCGTGTTTGAGTGCAATGCCATGTGCCAATGTGGCGACTCCTGCGGAAACAGGCTTGTTCAGAGGGGTTTGCAGTTCAGACTCGAGGTTTTCAAGACTGAGAAGAAAGGGTGGGGCCTTCGCGCTCTGGATTTCATAGCTAAAGGAAGATTTGTTTGTGAATACGCTGGTGAAGTTTTAGGCTTTAATGAAGCACGTAGGCGAATCCAGGCCCAGACATCAGAGGATTCAAACTATATTATAGCGGTGAGGGAGCACCTCCATAATGGGCAGGTAATGGAGACGTTTGTTGACCCTACGTACATCGGTAACGTAGGCAGATTCCTGAATCATTCCTGTGAACCAAATTTGTTTATGGTGCCAGTTCGAGTTGACTCAATGGTGCCTAAACTGGCGCTTTTTGCAGCCACTGATATTTCTGCTGGAGAGGAACTTTCCTACGATTATTCTGGAAGATTCCGTAATTTACCAAGAACTATCAGAGAACAAAAGTCTTTAGGAGAAGATAATAGACTGAGAAAACCTTGCTACTGCGGTTCCCGCGCCTGTGCCTCCTTCTTACCTTGGGACAGCTCCCTCTTTTCCACTGCAGACACTTGTTCAGGGAGCTCTCTGTAGCTTTTCTAAGCATACCTAAAAAATACCCTTTTCCCTAGGACTTAAATTCAGTTAAACAAACCTCTGATTGCGTATTGCACCAGGGAAGTGCATGTGAGTTTGAGTAACGGCTAAAGGGCAAGATTCTGGGAATAACTTTGTGCAACGTTGTAAGGACTGTTTGCAAGGTCAGTGGTATGAGGGAATATTGGAGCTTCAGGGTGTTCCAAAATCAGTTACTGAGCCAGGCCTGGTGGTTTTTTTCTTGTTTTATTCTGACAGATTGCTGTTTGTTAAAGCACCTCTATCAGTTTGTACCGTTCAGAAAAAATGAACTTTAATGTTGGTATACAGAAGGGGCGTGTGATAACAATGAAAAATGTCACTGAAAATCACAGAAGAGAATGACACTAAGCAATGTTGACATTTGCAGAAGGGCAGTAGGTTTCTTAATTCCATTAAAATAAATTATTCTTTTTTTAAAGCATTTGCTAAGAAGGTTTTTTGGTACTACAAAACATAAATATTATCCGTGTAAAAAACTTGCCCAAAAAAATCAGTTTGAATGCGTTGCCCCCCCCCTTCCCCTTTTCCATCTCCAGTCACGTCCAGCTGCGTGCCAAAACTGCATTTGAAGCGACTGGTCCAGTTCCGTTACCGTTTAGCTTCTGTGTAAACGGTGCGGTACCACGGGTTCGGAGAAGTTGGGTTTCACTGTTCCACCAGAGCCAGGCCCGTCCTTCCCCAGCCGAGGGAGAACGTCGCTGCCTCCTTTCCCTCGCTGTACAGGTGCTTTGCCCCAGGGCCACACGGGAGAGCGTGCTGGATGGGCCAAGCTCTGCAGCCACGCGTTGCTTCATTTCCTTTCTAGAAAGATCAGATTAAGGAAGCTTTGAACAGGCTTGTTCTGAATTTCCCCCAACTTTGATACGCATCTACCTTGCAGGCGCTGCAATATGTATAAAACCAAAACGTGGGCTGTTACGGCCACACCACAGTGGCACAAAGCCCTGGGTTATTTGCTCTACGGTTTGATCTTAACACTGTTTGGAACCTTTACCAGAACGGACACAAGGCAGCACATGTCAGGGAGGATCAGCTGTTCTGCAGGCCACTGGCAACCCTATTTTTTAATAAAAAAGACAACTTTTATTTGGACCTGAAAACTTAACCCCGTGCCGATAAGGGGATAAAGGACATTTTACTGCTATTTTGCTACTTGCTACACAAAACCTTATTTTGTGTTTACCTATATGTCCTTGATCAACCTGTGTGTTGCCTTCTCTCCCCCACAATGTATGCCTTTGTGCTTTTCTCGTGAGCTGCTGTTGAGATTTACGGATGGTTGTGCTTTGAGTTTAAGATCAACACATGATTTTTCTTAGGGTTAACGATTAAGTGTCGCTTCTGTCAGTACAGAAGGCTTCCAGAGGATTTCAGCTGCTTGACAAGAGTAGTTGACAAGCTGAGTGGCTGTTAAATTTATTCCTTGCCCGACGAAGGGCACCTGCTGCTGTAGAAGAGAAGTTCTCCAGACCCCGTAACTCGGAACACACGCTGCACTCGCTACCAGAGTACAGCCTGGCTGCAAGTTCTCCTCTTCCGTTTAGGGGCTTATCTGGTTTTCCTCCCGCAAAGGGCACTATGCCAGGCAGGAGAACTAGAGGGTTGGGAACGGATGATCCAATCTACTTTCTCTTTCCC